TAAGAATACATCGGATCAGAGATCAGATTCGAACTCATGGATTATATTGTGGGAAACTCAATGTTTATTAACACAAAGGTCGCACATGCGCGGCGCGACGACCCCGCCTTTTAACTGTAGCGTGTTGTGATGTGAGAAGGTTTGTCTCGGTGAATTCGGCAATTACGTACCTATTGATAGCTATTACGTATAGATGGTGTGGCGCCAGTAGTCTATGAATGGGATGTGATGGGGAAAGGTTACGGTTTGCGCAGACAGCGATAGATTCGATCACTAGATGCGTAAATCCTAAGTGAGTACACGATTGGTGGACGGAGGCGTCCGCCATGTTGTGATGCATTTTAGCTATCATCCACGTGTATTCGGGGTCTGTCGGTAAAAACACCTGAATAATAAAAAAAATGTTTAATAAATTTAATTTCAAGAAAATAGAAATCAGAATAATAATAGTTAACTGTTAATACGGAGGGGTTAATTGAAATTGTTCGTAAAGGGCTACCATTTTCAGAGAACATACTCTGTTGTAACATACTTTTTTAGCTGAAATTAAATTTCGCCGAAAAGACATTTTCGCTGTTTTGTATGAAGTTTATTTTCACTGAATGTTAATGAGTTGAATGTAAAATACAGAAAAGGGGTATTTTTATGGATTCATCACTTCAGCTATAATTGTAAAAATAAATTTCAAGTGGAAATAAAGTACTTCACAGTGACACACAAACTAATGTCACTACTGAGAAATTAAAATAGTGCAATTGGTGCACATATCTAGGTATTAAAAACAAGTTTAAAATTTATCACGAGGTGTTGCATGGCTACATTAATACTGTTTTGTTTTTGTTTGTACGACAGTCTGTTAACAGGGGATAGATTTGAATAATGTGTTAGCGAGATCAGAAACGCAGAATGAGAAGCTGCTAAAAAGATTGTGTCTGATTCGTTACCCAGTCCTAACACCTAACAGTCAGACCAATCAGAGAGCGCTGTGCGTCGGCATGGTCACACAGAGCGTGGGGTGTTAGTATGGCAGTACTACTACGTTCGAAACTCAATACATGACTAGTGCCTGTAATATTAAGACGAAATCAGTCTTGACAATATTTCGCAGTGAATATCAAGAATTTTTTGTAAGCATGTAAAATATTTTTTCAATAATTTCAAATTTTGTTTTTTAAACAAAAATTATCAAATATATTCTAAAAGTGTAAAATGCAATTAGAAATTTGCTTTATCTGTAAAGTTTCCTTTTTTATTTTCTGTACTAGCTGTCCCCCCTGCCCCCCATATAACAATAATAATAATAATAATAATAATAATAATAATAATAATAA